CTTTTGAGTTCTGTATTGGCTAAAGTTTGTGAATTTCTGTCGTCTGTTGGCTACATCTCAACTTCAATTCTGACATGAAGCTGTGCCCCAAGCTGGAACTGTTCTCTGCCCTTTCAGCTGCAGACATCCGAGAATGCTGTTGGATTTCAGGTATACTTTTGCTTTCTATCTGTATATCCTGGAGTTTTCGTAGCACCACATGTCTTTGAAAATGCCTAGTTATTGCTACAACGTGCGCATATAATCTAGGGTTTAGGGTTTAGTTACCCTCAACTCGAAGGAAACCTATACGATTTCGATCCTCTGTAGCAGTATTTGTCTCGAAAACTCAACAGAGCTTATATATTCCTCTTTGTGTACTCAGTGTACGATCCAGATATCAGACATCTTGCAACCGGTGTTGACAGGGTTCGTCCAGAGGCTAAGATTTCCCAAAAATTCGCAAGGTGCAGAGGGTTACTCGCCTCAAGTGATTGTCATTCTGACCGACAGAGATGTAAGCACGCAAATTGATATTAGGCGTACAGAAGAACATTTGGTTAGACGTCCCGCACACTGTGAAGATGTCATTGACGTTCATCCAGATCCCATCTTCATCGATAATTGTCACACGGCGGAGGTCTGACCAATAGTGACGGACGTTTATAGCATGTTTAGAGATTGCTTGCTCCCAAATTTCCAGCCATCTGCTTAGATGCTGCTGAGCTGAGAAGTTTAAGCCACTTCTAACGTGTGAAGAGTATATCAAGGTGAGTGGGGGTGTCGAAAAAATAAAAGAAAAAAGGAATAAGACGGGAGGCCAGAAAGAGGGGATTGCAAGCTGTACTTCAACGAACTTGCAATCATCATTAAGATGCCCGAAATTTCGCAGCCTCACCTGATCCCTCGTTTGATTGCAATATATCCAAGTCGGTTAGCATTCCAATGTCAACTGACTTGCTAACCGATATTGTGGAGAAGCTGGTAGTCATGGTTAGGGATTTCAGCAGCTTATTTCTAATGCCAAAGAAAAGAGGCCATGATAATGTGGTACCTTGTAAGATAATGGGTTCGTTGATACTAGAAGATTCGAACAGCTACTCCAAAAGGATGTTTTGCAACCCTTGAAGAATACTCCGTTGTTCGTAGATCTCTTCTGCAAGACTTGCTGGAGAGATTCGAACTTTGGTACGAAGTGACTAGAAAAGCGGGCACCGCCCATATCTTTCCTTCCTGCCATTCTCATCATTGACAAGCATTCGATTTTCGGAAGGCAACCTGGGCACTCAGAAACTTGGTGCAACATGTATATTGGGGTTCAAATTCGCTGTAATAATCACGAGGGCACTTATTTGACCGCATCATTCTACAGTAGTTCCCGAGAGAGCCGTCTAATGGAGAGCAAAACTATTGGAAGTCCCCATAATGCCACACAAGGAAGTAAGCGAACGGGGAGGGTTTAGGGTTTATAGTAAATTGCCGGTACGGTGTCATGAACGTCATAGATATTTTGATTTTGCAGCTTTCGATTTTTTTGTGGTTGAAGAAAGGCTGGCATTGATTTATCGGCTCACTACTTTTCCGTCGTATTGTGTGTGGTATCCTCACCTTGCTCGAATTCCTTCAATCACTCTAAACCGCTATACAAAAACTACATGTCAAATACTCAGTATAAATTTGCACGAGCACGGACCTCTTGGGGCCTCAAGAGAAATTAGTGGCCGAGTTCTGTGAAAGCATGTGAAAAATGAAGTAGAAAGAATAAGAGCAGGGTGTTTAAGGTTTCAGAATTACTCAAGATCGACCGGATAAAGGTAGAAGTAGAAAAAACATGGAATGCTACACTTCTGAATATTCAATCCCAAGAAAACAGCACAGATGCTGATTACAGTGGCTAACATGAGCTCAAAGATCTTACCACGATATAGTACAACAGAAGGCAGAAGTACAAACTCTGGTGAGAAGCAGTAGGAAGCGTCGGGCTTACGTTAAGCTCTACAGACCTAACCTTCCAAGAGTTACCCAAATATCACGACAAGGAGTGAACACTGACAAACTTCGAAAACCCTCGGAGTAAACTTCATTCAGGCGAATGATGAATTAAATATTCTAGATCATTCTTGGTCATCCAAGATGACCAAGAAGGTTTGGCCCGATTGCGATGCCGCTGTCAGTAAGTTCCTTCTCTACGTAGAGAGCTCAATACAGGTCCATCATCGGTGAGGAAGGAGAAGGAACGATGAACGATGGCTCAAATCAAATCAAATCAACGATGGCTTAACTTCGAAGAACCTCCTCAAGAGCACCGATCCTGCCGGCACAGCTTCGCTCCTGTCCCGAATCCTGCTCGATTGCTCGATTGCCCGAATCCTGCTCTGATGGCCTGAAGCCACGCTCGCAAGTCCCAGCAGCAGCGTGCCGAATGAGGAATAATGCGCAAATCGTTGTGATCCTTGGGTTTAACATGTTTTCACCTGTCATGTTTTCAGTCTCTCTTAAGTCTATGAATTACAATTTTATAGACCATGATGTATTATGATATTGTTCCTGATACAAAAATCAAGCCATTCGTTGAAAAACGGCTCTATTCTTGGAACCTTTTTAACAAAAGCGTGGTGCAAATTATTTAATCTTGATCTAATAGCAATATCAAGCACTATAGAACAAACTGAAGACTGTTTTGGAAAGAGTCTTTCTCGAGGATGAAATATGCTCAAAAACTGCGGTTTCGGTCTCCTTCTTCCCAAAGAAGATCTAGAGATTCGCAGCTGACATCGATAAACTGACATGGGAACTCGCGCGTGACAAATGCAGTCACAAGCTCAACATATGCAAAGCTACCGGTAGTTAGCTTCTGGAACTGAATGGAAAAAAGGCCAGAGGCCTAGGAGGTCACATCGGAGTACTGCGTCAGATCTTTGGGGTTTGTTACATGCAGAAAAGTTAGTGTGAGACAGATACGTATATATGTATCACATGTAATGCTAAATAGCAGCAAGCCCTGTTCTTATGTTCTTCATTCATTCAGAGTCCTGAGTCGTTCGAGATCTCTCCGTCACTGTCTTTACTCCTCCTTCGTGAGCTCTGTGTGCTCTCTTTTTCTACATCTGGTCCTTGCCTCAATTTCGGAGTACGGTGGAATCCTCTCACGTCTCGATCATCCAGTTCCCCAATCGTTGTTCAGACATCGCGTTCGCTGAAGCTTTTGAGTTCTGTATTGGCTAAAGTTTGTGAATTTCTGTCGTCTGTTGGCTACATCTCAACTTCAATTCTGACATGAAGCTGTGCCCCAAGCTGGAACTGTTCTCTGCCCTTTCAGCTGCAGACATCCGAGAATGCTGTTGGATTTCAGGTATACTTTTGCTTTCTATCTGTATATCCTGGAGTTTTCGTAGCACCACATGTCTTTGAAAATGCCTAGTTATTGCTACAACGTGCGCATATAATCTAGGGTTTAGGGTTTAGTTACCCTCAACTCGAAGGAAACCTATACGATTTCGATCCTCTGTAGCAGTATTTGTCTCGAAAACTCAACAGAGCTTATATATTCCTCTTTGTGTACTCAGTGTACGATCCAGATATCAGACATCTTGCAACCGGTGTTGACAGGGTTCGTCCAGAGGCTAAGATTTCCCAAAAATTCGCAAGGTGCAGAGGGTTACTCGCCTCAAGTGATTGTCATTCTGACCGACAGAGATGTAAGCACGCAAATTGATATTAGGCGTACAGAAGAACATTTGGTTAGACGTCCCGCACACTGTGAAGATGTCATTGACGTTCATCCAGATCCCATCTTCATCGATAATTGTCACACGGCGGAGGTCTGACCAATAGTGACGGACGTTTATAGCATGTTTAGAGATTGCTTGCTCCCAAATTTCCAGCCATCTGCTTAGATGCTGCTGAGCTGAGAAGTTTAAGCCACTTCTAACGTGTGAAGAGTATATCAAGGTGAGTGGGGGTGTCGAAAAAATAAAAGAAAAAAGGAATAAGACGGGAGGCCAGAAAGAGGGGATTGCAAGCTGTACTTCAACGAACTTGCAATCATCATTAAGATGCCCGAAATTTCGCAGCCTCACCTGATCCCTCGTTTGATTGCAATATATCCAAGTCGGTTAGCATTCCAATGTCAACTGACTTGCTAACCGATATTGTGGAGAAGCTGGTAGTCATGGTTAGGGATTTCAGCAGCTTATTTCTAATGCCAAAGAAAAGAGGCCATGATAATGTGGTACCTTGTAAGATAATGGGTTCGTTGATACTAGAAGATTCGAACAGCTACTCCAAAAGGATGTTTTGCAACCCTTGAAGAATACTCCGTTGTTCGTAGATCTCTTCTGCAAGACTTGCTGGAGAGATTCGAACTTTGGTACGAAGTGACTAGAAAAGCGGGCACCGCCCATATCTTTCCTTCCTGCCATTCTCATCATTGACAAGCATTCGATTTTCGGAAGGCAACCTGGGCACTCAGAAACTTGGTGCAACATGTATATTGGGGTTCAAATTCGCTGTAATAATCACGAGGGCACTTATTTGACCGCATCATTCTACAGTAGTTCCCGAGAGAGCCGTCTAATGGAGAGCAAAACTATTGGAAGTCCCCATAATGCCACACAAGGAAGTAAGCGAACGGGGAGGGTTTAGGGTTTATAGTAAATTGCCGGTACGGTGTCATGAACGTCATAGATATTTTGATTTTGCAGCTTTCGATTTTTTTGTGGTTGAAGAAAGGCTGGCATTGATTTATCGGCTCACTACTTTTCCGTCGTATTGTGTGTGGTATCCTCACCTTGCTCGAATTCCTTCAATCACTCTAAACCGCTATACAAAAACTACATGTCAAATACTCAGTATAAATTTGCACGAGCACGGACCTCTTGGGGCCTCAAGAGAAATTAGTGGCCGAGTTCTGTGAAAGCATGTGAAAAATGAAGTAGAAAGAATAAGAGCAGGGTGTTTAAGGTTTCAGAATTACTCAAGATCGACCGGATAAAGGTAGAAGTAGAAAAAACATGGAATGCTACACTTCTGAATATTCAATCCCAAGAAAACAGCACAGATGCTGATTACAGTGGCTAACATGAGCTCAAAGATCTTACCACGATATAGTACAACAGAAGGCAGAAGTACAAACTCTGGTGAGAAGCAGTAGGAAGCGTCGGGCTTACGTTAAGCTCTACAGACCTAACCTTCCAAGAGTTACCCAAATATCACGACAAGGAGTGAACACTGACAAACTTCGAAAACCCTCGGAGTAAACTTCATTCAGGCGAATGATGAATTAAATATTCTAGATCATTCTTGGTCATCCAAGATGACCAAGAAGGTTTGGCCCGATTGCGATGCCGCTGTCAGTAAGTTCCTTCTCTACGTAGAGAGCTCAATACAGGTCCATCATCGGTGAGGAAGGAGAAGGAACGATGAACGATGGCTCAAATCAAATCAAATCAACGATGGCTTAACTTCGAAGAACCTCCTCAAGAGCACCGATCCTGCCGGCACAGCTTCGCTCCTGTCCCGAATCCTGCTCGATTGCTCGATTGCCCGAATCCTGCTCTGATGGCCTGAAGCCACGCTCGCAAGTCCCAGCAGCAGCGTGCCGAATGAGGAATAATGCAACTGACCGATTGAGGTCAACGCGTCGTGGACTTCCACCACATTTCGTGAGGTCCACGTGTCGCTCTCGTTGGACTTGCTCGGCAAGCGAGCGGCGGCCCGACCGAGCGAAGGAAGGAGCCCTACGTCCTGCACCTACCAAGTCTCGAAACAACGAATCAACGAAACGCGCAGTCAAACTGCTCCGTCTATAGATTCACTGCGTACAGTCAGTCCGGCAATAAGTCCGCTATAATAAAGTGAAGTAAAGTAAAGTAAAGTAAAGCAAAGCAAAGTAAAGAACCGGACTGGACGGAGAAACTTACGCCGAAGTCCAGTCATTCGAAGCTGACGTAAGGCAAACTCCAACCGTAACTCACCTGGTCTTCGATCGGTTGCCTTGAGGTGCAATCAACGGTCGGAAGGAGCCCGCTCTGCCCAGCGGTAGTTTCATGAAGGTTCAGATTCGGTGACGACAGTGCGCTCAACCGAGAGGAGAGAGAGAGAGAGAGAGAGAGTTCGAAGAGGTTTGATGGTGGATTGGTGGGCGGCGAGGTAGCCGGAGCTGGGTGCCAGAGGGCAGGCAGCCCCGGACACACAAGCTGCAGGTGGACGTGGTGAGCCCGCCATAGCTGACGTCACAGTGTGATTGACTTCGAATCGAAGACACCCTTTGGCGGACAAGGAGGAGATCGATGCGTAGGACCGACCAACTGACCGGACGAGTCGCGGAAGGCGCCAGCCAGCCAGCCAGCCACCGACCGACCGACTAGTGAGTGAGTGAGTGAGTCAGAAGCTGAGCTTGGATCGAAGAAAGCAATCGCTTGCATGATTTCTTCTGGGACTGGGTTTCGGTCGGACTCACATCACCGTCATCTTTGGGGAAATGAAGGCTACGAGGCAAAGTTTCCTCTGGCCTTGCCTTCGCTGCATAATAATACGAACCGTTCTGAGCCTGGCTTCTGAGTCAAGTCAGCCCTGCGCCCTGGCTGATGGGACTTCTACTTAAAGGGAGAAGCTTTCTGTAACATGCCGATCGGTTGTGTCTCTGTCTTCGCTTTGCCCAGCCTTGAGCATACATAGTCTTGTTTCTGCTTTACGTGATACACAAGCAATTGAAGTATAAAAGGTCGCTCAGAAGAAGCTCGCCTGCTGGCACACTGATGTTGAGGTAGTCGAAGTTGAGTAAGAAGCTCGTTGAATTGTGGGAGCTGGTTCAGGCTGTTCAGCTCGCCGTCATGGTGCTAGAATTCTTCCTCTTCGTGCTAGCCTTCCTTGTATTTTTTTTCTCGAATACGCCGCCCGCAAGATGAGTGTTGACTCGTGCGATTTGGAGAGGATCTCGTTCAGTTGGATGCTTTCAGAGGTCGAGGTTCGATCGACACATTTGTACAAACTGCAGAGGGCAGATTGTCACAGTGATGTCCATAGCTTGTCACGAGGTAGCAATTCTTTCATGAATTCATTTTTGTAACGCGGTTTTGGTCTCCCAGTTCCTTTCTATTCTCCAGAGGTTACATTACAAGGAGACCGAAGTCGTAGGAAATTGACCTTCTGAAAGAAACTTCAGTCCCTGTTTCGTTGTTTCTCGAAGTAAAGTTGAAGTTTTAGTTGAAATTTCGGTAGAAAAGAACCCAATTTCATTTGAAAAGAAGGGTCGGTATTGTGCCAATCCTTCTGGTCTGGGTGGAAATCAGGCACTGGTTGCGACTTTCATTAGTCTATGATACATACGAACGGTCTAGATATACGGTCTAGATACCAGGTCCTATCATCGTCAGATAGAGTAGACACAGCAGAAATTTTAGGACCGATGTTTTCCCAATCTGTCCAGGATTTGTTCAAGCGATCCTTTTGTTATCAATCAAACAGCTTCAGAATTTTTCTGATCTTTTACTTAATCATTTACATGACAAACATCATCTACTGAGTGTGATGGATATGAACGACAAAATTCAAACAACGCAAGTTGAGATAAGTTCATACTCTGAAATTCAGAGTTTGATCGGAGGGGACATCCAGCTTAGATTTAACTGTGAGAGAGAGTATGCCAGTGGCCATATAACTCTGAACCAGAAAGAGGAGATTGTCTATCGAAGGAAAGTAAGTCGACCAAAAAAAAAATGTCTAGATATCGCGGAAGAAGGGTCAGGGAAAGCTCTGCATTATCCCAGACGTTTCAGCTGGGCTAGTGTCGAACTATCGAGGCAACCGAGAGAATTGCAAACAATAAAATCATATAAAACTGTAAGCTCCCACGCAACAAATATGCAGCCAATTGAACAAGCGAAGCCACGAGCGGAGAATGGAGTTGGCTGCCGCGTTGTAGGAGACCTTTTCGAAAAGTGCCAACGTAGGAATTTATTACAGAATCTTCTACAATATACTGTACACCAGTTTCGAGATCGTGTAAGATCAACTCAATAAAAACAGTAGTAGTATACTCTGATCTACGTAGGTACTGATGACTCACCAGATGATATCGTTTGCGTGGCTGACAGATGGTGTAGACGGCTTAGCAACGCGTGTTCATGAGCAATGCCATTCTAGAAAGGCCTTTGCAGCGACTGAAATGGATTCTAAAAGTGGAGCTGATCTTACAGGGCTGAATCAGATCCTTCTCCGATTCTCGTACATCATAACTACCATGTAATATGTCAGCACCAAGAAAGATGACGTCATGTCATATCAAGGTTCGTCGCTTCTCAACTTCAGCAGTTGGCATGCATCCACGTGCATGCCATTTGTGAGCAGATTGTGACTAGAAGGAGCTATCTTATCACACATGGATCTATGTACGACGAGATCTAGAGAAAACGACAGTCTACGGTATCTAAGAGGTCAGTTGATGATAGATTTAACTTCCTTGAATTTGTATTAACTATGTTGCCTTGTTTTCTTAATAGGAAACTAAACCTCAGACATTGGCTCTCTGAATATTTTTTAAGATGGACATCTTGATTTCTCCGAGGGATCAACTTCGTGGATGAGACTGACAAATTACGTAGGCATGGCGGGCATGTGAGACCAGGGGCAACTCCCGCCACTTGGCTTGGCAAGAAACATGGATAATGACATTTCCTTCTCTTTCCAGATGCTACTCCTCAGCGAACTGATACTTGATAACTAGATACCAATTCTATACTATATATCTTGTTTCGTTACAACGGGTATCTTATTATGCAGTCCATTAATTTTATATAGCTGAAAGGCACATATGTACGCTAGGATTCTGGAAATAGACAAATTGAAAAGTAAATAAAATTCGCTGATTGCAGCCTTTTTAAGTTTGTAGTTGACTAGAGTTCTTTCCGGATATATTGCTTTCAAACCCCTATTGTTCAACTTGAGGTGAGCTTTGTGCTGGTTGGAAACGACTCCGAATTTTAGCACTATTTTGTCTAGACTATCTAGAGATGAGCTATGGAATATTTGGTGCAAGTCTGCTGTTCACAAGTTGTGGCACTGTGTTATTTTCATTTTCTTTGGTCACCAGATTGGACCTTAGCTAGTATAACTAGTATTTCCACTATGATTTTGAATTTGAAGTTAAAATTTTTGGCGTGCTCGCCTTCAACTGCATGGCCCGCAGACGCGCACAAACTTGAGATCTACTAGCGCTGCATAGCATATTTCTCCGGACTCCTTTTCGTCAATATCCTTCTGAAAGACCCATATTCTGAAATTTGGGCAGCTGCGTGGAATGTCTTCGCTCTCCCTGTATTTCTGGATTGGCCCCTGATCCCTATGCACGGAAATCAAGCATGATGTTATACCTGTCACCTGTTGCCAATCAGATATCACGTCTATATCTTCTTTTGTATTTGCTGTAGATATTACGCGTATTTGCAGAAGTAGAAATGTCAGTCCTGATTATGCACACGTGGTGTTTTGTCTCAAAGTACTTGTCAAATAGTATCTTCTTTGCATAGGCTATGCAAAGAATGTAATGGGCTATGCAGCATAGCCCATTACCGGAAGGGAGTGTACTCCTTAGATAGGTCTGTACTTGATAAAAAAACAAGCCGAAGTGTTGATCCCTGATATAACATTTCATCCCGTGACAAACAATTCAGATCTGAAACCAGAAAGCCTCCTGAAAATATATTCATAGAGAAAAGCAATAAGTTCATTTGACGTTACACTCCTACTTTCGTGTTTTTCTCTGTGCAGAGTGACAGGTTCCATCCTCTTTTCTCTCCAGATTGATTCAAGTGATAACAGGTCCTCGGTTAGTCGGAAATTGAGATAACTCACTGTACGTTGTCGCTCGAAGGTCAAAGGTTAGAAAAGAACACCACAAGTCCAAGGCGCATCAAATAATGATTTATGATTCGTGTCACGCTATGTTGGTCCCTGGAAGTAGAGCGTCAAAGGCTCACCCCATGTGTTTAGTAAGAGTGCAGCTTCCAAGAGATGATAGATATGTCTGTTGTGCAACAGCTGGAAAATGAGGTTGGGACTTGAAGACAGTGTGATCCGGGTAGTAACTCCCGTGTTCATCTTCTCGAGTTTACACAGGTGTTCAGATCCTGCCCGAGGGATCGTGTTCGCTGATCCAGCAGCTGTTGCTCACATTGACAAAAGGTTTAAGTTGCTTCTTTCGAGCTCTTGTGAAACATCACTTGACAGCTCCAGATCACAGCAGATTGCGCACTTCTCTTTGATGGACGATCTGTTCGATTTGGGATCGTTTATTCACCGACTATTCATATACTCGACACAGACGTTCAAAGTGCTGCTCAAGGTTCAGACGCTCAAAGTCTGAACTGCCACGGGCCGCTCAGAGTTATATCGAGTTCAAAAGTTTCCCTGCGGTCTAAATGTACAGAGCTGAAAGTATAGAATGCTGGTTGTGTGTTGCTAGCTATCGATTTCAATAGGAAATGTGCCTATCTGTTGTTTTTCACAGTTTGATTCAATTTTCAAGATATTCAAGATATTCACTCTAAACAGTCTTACACAAACTACAGTTACTGCAACAGTCAACGACGCTACCCACTCGAATGAATCTATTAATCGATTAAACACAATAAATAACAAGGACTTACAGCGATCATATTGTTCACCCCACATGCGATTAGATTGAGTGTGATATGAAACATTTGACCATTGTCATTCAAATGGGATAAGTCCCATTTGAAGTAGCACTATAGTGTTAGCTTCTGTTGGTCGCTGGATGTCAGTATATGACCTCCTTTCCCTATGAAAAGCTGTTAGATATCAGGTTTTTTATTAGTCCATTGCAATCATTCAACCTACACGGCGTGTTCTGTATACCGACATTTCCGCACAGTCCTACAGTCCCACGCGAAGGTGACTTGCGGTGACCCCGGAAAACGTCTACATGTTTGTTTACGTATCCACCTAATACTCTCGAGTCAGATGTGTCACATGAGTAGATTTTTCATAGCTTTGAAAATGCTCTGTCTCTTATGACATACATATCTGAAAATACGGGAAAAAATGAACTGAATAAAATATGACTCGATTTCAATCTTCTTCGCATTTGTAAATATTTATTAAGTCATGCTTTTATTTTTTTTGAACGAACAAATCGCTTGGAAAAAACACAGCACTATGGATACATTCCGTATAGATACATTCAGTATTCATGAAAAAAGATTGAATAACAGCTCTTCTTATCAATTAGAACATAGCTCAAAATGTAAAAAAAAATTAACTTCGTGGGTTAAGGAAAAAAAATTGGTGGTTTGATACAGTTGCTATGAAACACTCCAAAAAGAAATATGTGGTTTCACAATAACTTTCTTCATATAGATCAAATGTAGTTGACGCTTACAATCGAGATTTTTTTGCGTATTAATCAATTCTAATTATATCATTTTGAATTGTAGAGCTGGTTGGATGAATTTATCAAATATTTGATGTTCAGGTATATTACTTTTTGAAACTCATTATCATTGAAGTTTATTGTGCATATGGTACGACCTTTTTCATAGATGTCTTGCAGATAAAACCAAAAAGTAGTAGTGACATATTGCAGATCTGTCATGATATTGCACTACCGTTCTTACAGCAATATCTGATCATGATCTGAGACGATATCCAAAGCCTGCATCGGAGTCCAGCTCGGAAGAAACCCTACAAAGCTTTCGTGCTAGCTCGTTCGGACCTGCAAGGTACCATTCTCCATCGATGAGCTGCACTCAGATCGAAGGGTCGCACTTTTTTTACACATACATCGTGCCCAACCTCCATTTCGTTCACGAAGATCCTCACCAGACCGACAGTAATGGTCCAAACTAAATAAGCAGTATGTGAGAGGGCAAATCCACGTGGCAGCCTCTGCACGGGCCCTCGGCGACGAGATCTTCAAGTGATGCAATAAAGCTCGCAAAGAATCTGCCTTTGATGTTGGAAGACGATTAGACAAGAGGCTAATCACTGCTGTCATGAAGAGGCATGTGCGCACAATTTCTCATCGGAGCAAGCAACACGGATTAGTTGCTGAAGGAATCTCGTTGTCCTACCATGAAAGCAGTGTACTCCATTTTTTTTGGCATCTGGGATCAGGACACACCACTCTTATAGAATGTACTCATCGAAATGAATAGTATGCGGGAAAACTCAACCTGCGTGAAAATTATAATGTCTCGAATTCCACACATAAAAAATTGTGATCATGTTTACAAAGAGGCAGTGCAATCTCCACCGCAGTACAACATCAGTCTCCTCTAGCGGTCCGATGTATACGAGGGGTTCTGGTGAGACATATCCAGACTTCATCGGAAAGATATCCAATTCCGCCAGTGATCTCCATCACCGATTTTGTCAACACAAATTTAGCCTCAAATCGACACGACCTCCTTTTTTAAATCAAGCACGGTGATCTGATCGATTTTCCTTTTCTGTGAGTTCTTACCAGTGTGTGCAAACTTTCTGCTCTCAGTCTCTTTTTGAGGCTATGGGACAAAGTGTCGTTCGAATCTTCATAATCTTCCAGATACACCTCCCGATCCGAGAGAGAAGGGAACGGAAAGAGATTCTGATTATCCACCTGCCGACCCATGACTATGATCGAGACGTGTTGATTTAATTCCTGGTCGGTGCAGATTTGGGAAAAGAATGAGCCTAGAGAAGGACCTAATAGATCACTGTTTGGATTCCAAGCTTCAGTTTCTCTTCCCCTCACGTGAAACGAATGAGGTATCTCCAATTGCCATTTTCTTGCCATGGTTGTATGCCAGCTGAGAGTTTTTCGCCATCGAACCTTCGATATTCTCTCGGTGGTTACAATGTTCGGAATTCGCTTTTCTAATTATTGGAGTGGACCCCGCGATAACACTTTGGGCCCACCGCACGCAGGAAGAAGGATGGAACCCTCGCTCCATCGGATCTACACACAAAGCCGCAAGCTCTTTCAGAGCTCACTTCGCGAACAGTTGTCATCCGATTTGTGCCCGTTTCAGATCTAATGGTGCCAAAAATTATTGAGTCTTTAACACAAACACCACCGGCATGAGAAATACAGAACTGCATTTCTTCTCTTGGCGGCACTGCCATGTTCAGTTTTCAAAGCTCGGTTGGAAATCTACCATGTTCAAGCTGAAACAATTTGCATGCATTATCATGTTTGCTAAGCCAAATTACTGTGTCTCGACCACTCCTAACAAAATTTTATCACTGCTTATCAATTATTAAGAATAAGATTGAAAATGTGTTTCTTTCGTAGGCATGATTTACTTCAGCATATACAGCAAGTAGGTTTTCCAAACAGAGTGAAACATATCCTCTACGTCGTACTAATGGGGCTGAGTACCGAATAATACCTAGTAAGTGGAAGAAATATCTCTGACTTCCTGTCACAGCGGTTCACTGAGTTGTAATCGATCCTTAAACATCTTATCCATCTCGATTTTGGAATATCCTTTTTATGTTGCAGCTCCAGATGCGCGCGGAGCGGAAACCGTGTCGGAGCATGAGTATATAAAGTCGTAGGGACTTCAGCCAGGGCTATCAAGATCTCTCTCAAGGTGATCTCATCAGATCGCAGAGTGAGAAGTTACCTTTTTAGGAGTTCACAACAGATTCGGAGTCCAAGGTGAGTTTCTCGAAATCAAAAATTTGACATTCAGCTCTTTCTTCGGAACTAATGTTCAAGTTTTTACATCAATGTCGCCTGTGTATCTTCGAGTCCTTCGTTCTCTCATCTCGGTTTTCACAAGCATGGATTCGAGGTAATGGCACCATTCTGTCTTGTCCCGTCAGATCAGTTCCATGTACTAAAGTCGATTATGCCTTTTGATGCTTATTATTTCCATGTCTGCAGGCAGCAACCAGAAGTTTGCAATGCTTAGTGTCCGAGCCCCATTTCGAGTTTCTGCACATGCTGTAGCTCCTTCCAACCCCTGCGCTACTCCCTCAGCATGCACCCGGTCCTCAGTCTGTTCCAAATCTTCTTCATTGATGGGTACCGCAGTCCATTGTGGACCTCACGAGAATTCCATGTCACAGCAGCTCCCGCAAGGATATGGCAAAAGCCTTCATCCAGTGCGAGCAAGCCTCAGAGATCTCGTTCCAGATCCGCTGCATCTTTTCGATCATAAGAAGGACCAGGTGCAAGTTGAAGGGGAGCTGCTCATTTCGAACAGGACAGTCCTTGATTTCGACCAACCAGTAGCCAGTCTCGTAGACAAGAATGTGGACCTCCTCGGTTTGGGAAAAATTCAGTTTCAGCTCGTCAGTGAGGATCTCGACAGTAAGTTTTCAAAGCCCTCGCGGATCAAATTCTGTAGTGCATGTGAGTGCGATCAGGAGAATTCTTCGTTCTCTCCTTAGAGCTGACTTCTAGCCCAAGATCTGCAGAGTCGAGGTCTTATCATGCATGCAAGCCACTGCAGGCTGATCAGAGTTCAGACTCCTCTACAAATTTCCAGCAGCTCAAGTTTTAGTACGTGAGAAGAAGAGACGTAGTGTTGTGAAATTTGAATGTGTACGTTAGTGATTAACGCTCTCAATCGTGGATTCAGATGATAGAGGTTGAAATTTAACGAAGAAGAAGAAAAATGCGAAATTCAAGAGGGTAGAATCCTTGACCACATTTTGCCTGGGAATCAAGCAGAACCAAGGAGGAGCCTGCATATCTCGATGTGGAATGAAATTCACATTTACTTTTAGTGAAATTTAATTCTGCTGGTTTATGTATGCACAGAAAACGGGAAGCCCAAACTGACCGAAGCTGCCGTGGTGGAAAACTACGCGTTATCGAATATATCACCACTGGCTGGTCAGAAAAAGTACAGAATCAACTTCCAAGTCGACCCTGATTTCGGGAAAATCGGAGCTGTTGTGGTCAGGAACAGTCATCTGAACGAGTTTTTTCTCCACTCGTTGTCTCTTAAACTGGCCGGCGGCAAAGTAGTGGACTTCTTCTGTAACTCTTGGGTCAATCCAGAGTCATATGAATTGCAGTTTAGAAATGGGATAAATTACACTCCTCTACCTGACCGCGTATTCTTTCTTAACAAGGTAAATCCACAACATTTGATTAAGTTCAATTCGATTTAGAGGCGCTTGATAAGATCCCGACGACCTTCCACGATCGTAGAAGCCAGCATTCACTTATATAATTCACTTAGAAGCCAGGATTAGAGGCGTATACTTTTTGCATATCCAACAAGCCGCAGTTTATATATATGAGGCTATATATGGCTTACTGGTTCATGCCCTGATCTAAATATTTCGTTCTCATTTATTCAATTGCTTACAGTCCATGACAATTATCCGTCTTCCGTTCTGCAGGCATGTCTTCCAGAAGATACACCAGCAGGTCTGAAAGCTTACAGAGAAGAAGATTTGAAATACTTAAAGGGAACTGGTAAGGGAATGAGAGTTTTTTCTGACAGGATCTACGACTATGACGTGTACAATGATCTGGGTAAACCGGATTCCTATCCTCCCGTCATGCGACCTGTCCTGGGTGGTGACAATCTCCCCTACCCCCGTCGGTGCAGAACGGGGCGAGGATATAGTAGCACGAAAAATCCAGCAGTGCCCTCAGGTATTGTTTCAAGCTAATTCTGCTGCTTGCCATGGCCCTCCACTTCCAGTTTATAAGCTCAATTCTATTGTACTGACAGTGCACACACTGCAAGATAGTCAGTGTAGCCTCCACAGAGAAGCTCAAATGAATAGAAACAAGATATGGCATTTCTGGAGCTGAGTTTTGCTGGATCTACGCTTGCAGATCCTCCGTCAGAGAAGGAGATGGGTTCAGAAGGCATAATAGCACTTGGTCCTTTGGTAGGACTCATGGATTTCTACGTTCCCTGCGATGAGTTTTTCGGTGGAGAGAAAACGAGTGCGTTTTTAGCAGTCGGACTGAAGTCTGTCGCCCACTCTATAGTTCCAATTCTTAAAGATCTCTTCACGGGAGACAGAACCGCCCACTTCGATAGTATACAAGACTTCAAAGACTTGTATGCGAAGGGGGTCAAGATAGACACGAGCCAAGCAACTAAAGACGGTCCCCTTGTCTTCGTTGATTCGTTCTTCAACGCCTCTGGCGATGACAAAGGCGTCCTCAAATTTCCCGTTCCTCAAGTATTCGCGAGTAAGCTGCTTTCTAGGACCAGACCACTTCAATTCCATTAAGCATTACATCATGCCGCTCTAACATCGATATCGTTTCATATAAAATGTTGCAAGGTAGTTCAAGTGGACATCAGTCAGGTGTCATGTAACACTTCACACACGTGCTATCCGTCTTACTTTAAATTTCGAAACTCGGGATATAACTGATCATTCTGCAGAGAGCGACTTCGCTTGGAATGAGGATGAGGAGCTTGGTCGTCAAACCCTGGCCGGGTTGAATCCAGTTGTCATCCAAGCTTTGACGGTAAGCTTCTACCATGATGATTAACACGTGTGTACATGTTGGCTTGTGTTCCTCGGTTTCCAAATGCTGTATAAGAAAATTGAAATCTAGATGTCTGAAATTTTTCCTCCATATTGATGTCTAGGTAGGTATTTCTGCTGTGCACTCAGAGTTTGCATAAGTTGATGTGTGCAGCAATATCCTCCCAAAAGTACCTTGGGTCTCCCGGAGGACGTGTATGGTCCCAACTCCGTCTTGACAGACGAACACATCTTGCCGTATTTGGAAGGACTCAGCGTGCAGCAGGTACTGAAAATCGCTTTCACAATTCTCATCGAATTTGGCTTCCAAAGAACTAAGACCTACTAAGGTCATGGTTTCTAGGAAGAGTATACTTTAGAGAAGGCTGCATCTCGTTCAGTTTGCTTAATGCCACCTTTGCCTCAATAGAACTCTGTCCCTCGTCAAGAACTAACACAGTAGTGTCGCACTTGCAGGCAATTGATGCCAAGAAGCTGTTCATCATTGATTATCATGATCCTTTTGCCGTTTACCTTCCGAAGATACTCAGCGGCAAGTGGGGAGATAAGAAGAGAGGCTACGCTCCAAGAGCGATATTTTTTTACAACAAGGAGGGAGCCATGATGCCCATCGCCATTGAGCTCTCCAAGCCTGAAGGAAGTACCTTCAAGCACACAGTGTACACCCCACCGTTGAGAAAGGGAGACATAAATCCCTACTGGAATTTAGCCAAAGCACACTTCAATGCAATCGATTTTGGTTACCATGAGCTCATCAGCCACTGGTACTCGATCCTTTCCGTCCGTCCGTCGTTCTTAATTTTGGCAATATACATCAGGCTTTTGATAGACGAGGTTCGGTGATGAATTCCCTTTCTAGGTGAAGTTGCTCTGAAGAGAGATCAGTAGCAGCGAGATCTGATCAATGTCTCTGTGTATAACAGGTTGAGGACGCATGCAGTTATGGAGCCATTTGTCATTGCAACTCGAAGGCAATTGAGTACAATCCACCCAATCTATAGTCTTCTGATTCCTTGCTTCAAGAACACTATGATGATCAACGCCGCAGCACGAGTAGCTCTCATCAATTCTAATGGAATTATCGAGAGTTACTTTCTTCCTGGAGAATACTCTATGGAAATGTCAGCTGTCATGTATGGCCTCACCTGGACTTTCGAGAAGCAAGCACTACCCAATGATCTGATCTCAAGGTTCGTAAAACTCGCCCCTCCTCGCTGAGTTCAGACACATCAACATTTTATTTTTTAGTAAACGATTTAACATAATCATCCCGTTCAAGATATATAACCCAGTCTACTGAAAGATCCGTGATATAACTTTTATAAGAATCTACCAGAAGAAGAATATAGAGGAGATCTTCGATTCTTCGGATGGTTGAGAAAAGAAGTACGGGACAACGATAGAGATAGAAAACAATCTTGAAAAATGAGCAATTAATATAAAGGTGCATCCAATTTGCTCAAAGATATACTCCTGTCCTGCGCGCAGAGGTATGGCGGTGCCAGACGAAACAGAGAAAGCGGGTGTAAAGTTGGTCATAGACGACTATCCTTTTGCCGAGGACGCACTGGATCTGTGGGCGGCTCTTCACGACTGGATCACCGAGTACGTGAACATCGCGTACAAATCAGACGAAGCAGTGCGAGGCGACACGGAGCTGCAGGCGTGGTGGAACGAGATCGTCACAGTGGGCCACGCTGACATCAAGACGGGATGGCCCAAGGCAGACTCTCGAGCAAGCTTGGTCGACATCTGCTGCACCATCCACTGGATCGCCGGGCCTCACCACGCCGCCGTCAACTTCGGCCAGTACTCGTACGCCGGCTTCATGCCCAACAAGCCGTCCACGTGCCTGCGCTGGATCCCCGACGAGGGCACTGCCGAAGCTCAAGAGCTCGAGCAGAATCCATTCCTGTACCTGCTGAAGACGGTGGCCACTGAGCTCATCACTCTTCCGATCATGACCACAGTTGAGCTCCTAGCGCAGCATGGCACAGACGAGGAGTACCTCGGAGATCGGAACGACCTGTGGACTTCGGATCCACTCGTGCAGCAGGCGTTCAAGAAACATTCGGAGAGAATCGCAGCTCTGCAAAGTGAATTCGAGCAGAGGAACAGCGATTCGACGAAGAGGAACAGATCTGGGCCGACCAACGTCCCTTACACTCTTCTGTACCCGCACTCTGGGCCCGGTCTGACCGGTCGAGGGGTCCCCAACAGCATATCCATCTGATACTAACCACAGATTCCGACGTTTATCATACCCAGCAACGGTTGTTAACTCACCATCGGGTTATGAGATAACAGCTGAAGATATACTTGAAAGTCGGTTGCAGCACAGCCCAACATTGGGTGCCTATGCCCATGGGTTTTGGGTGACATTATTTTTCCATGGTCCGGCACAAGAAGTGCTATGGGCAGTGTCCCCAACAGCATATCCATCTGATAGTAACCACATATTCCGACGTTTATCATACCCAGCAACGGTTGTTAACTCAACGTCGGGTCATGAGATAACAGCTGAAGATATACTTGAAAGTCGGTTGCAACACAGCCCAACAGGGTTGGGTGCCCATGCCCATGGGTTTTGGGTGACATTCTTTTTCCATGGGTGGGCACAAGAAATGCTATGGGCAGTGTCCCCAACAGCATATTCATCTGATAGTAACCACAGATTCCGAGGGTTATCATACCCAGGAACGGTTATTATCAATCTTAATCTCAATTTCAACGTCGGGTCATGAGATAACAGCTGAAGATATACTTGAAAGTCGGTTGCAGCACAGCCCAACATGGGGTGCCCGTGCCCATGCCCATGGGTTTTGGGTGACATTATTTTTCCATGGGTGGGCACAAGAAATGCTATGGGCAGTGTTTGAGGGCAGATCCAACCAAGAATGGGTGTAACCGGGTAATACATTTAACACAATTGGCGTAATTTGAATAGCATGGGTAGGAACAGGTAATGCTATGGGTGGGCAGAGGTCACTGTTGATGGTTATGGTCTGGGTACAGATTTGGAGTGAAATGTTGGCCTCTGGTTAGCAGGCACTCGAAGTTTGACGGAGGAGGATTAGTCTCTAGGTTTGTAGAAGCTCAGTACGCATCTGATGTGCATAGTCGCGTTGAGAAATAAAAGTATATGAATTTATCACGAAGGTCCACCACGTTCCATGTCATATCTTGGCGCTCTTCTCTCGCACCACTAGACAAATGCCTCTGACAATTTTGTAAGTTGAATCTAACATGTAATGTTGGTTAATGTATGTTCGTGGATTTTTGCGGTTCAAATATAGCTCCATCAAACTGTAATATCTAATATATATTATGAGTAGAGGGAAATTTTCTCTGTTTGAAAAAAGTTAGCAATTCTTAAGACTCTTGATTCACTATTATGTTAATATTCTGAATTTTAGCTGCAATCAAGATGTTTTACAAGAATAAATTTATAGAGTATTTGATATAGTTAATATTAATGTGTCAGTCATGAAAAGAATGGTGGAAAAAATGGGAATTCGATACAATTCAACACTGAAAACATCAAGGTTTTCGAGAAGTGTAAATGCAATAAAGATAATCACTTATTACACACAAATATCTCTTTCAATTAGCATTTGAACTTGTTATCACTTGATAGATATCGATAGATCTTCACAATGCACACAATATCAAAATGAAAGCGAAGAATAAGAAACCATCCCCCTGCAGAAGGAATTATTTTTTGAAGTTTTTGTCACATAATGAGCTTGCGGACAATATCATGCTCCTCAAGTTGAGGATACAAAGAGTATTATGTTGGCAACCTTCTGAAATGTGTCATAAATAAGTTGTCCATTACCAAAATCAAAAAGACCGCAACGCAGATCAAGAAAGTCTGGAAGCTCCGTATATTCTCTGTGTAGCCGTCCAATCAATTAGAAATAAAAAAAATCCTTAGGCTTGTTCTACTGAGATGAAAATCAAGAAGAATATGTTTGCGGAGACAAGTGGGGAGTAACTACAGTAGAGTGCTCTGCACCTTCTTTTAGTTTCATGGAAGTGTTCTGTAGTGAAACATGTGTCGTTCGAGTGGCTTAAGATTTTTTCACTTTCGCGCTCAGATTGATCGATAGTTGAGTTAAGCAAACACGTCTTCTATCAGAGGTCTGTTGTTGTTGTATTTTGGTGATGGTATCTATTGTGGACATGATCTTGAACATATGTTGGACCATAATGGGACCATAGTTTATATGTTAGCATATCATGACCACCTACAAAAATAAATACCGGTTTTGAGGATGGAGTGGACGGGTTGCAGAGTATGGACTTTTCATATGATCCATGTCTGTCCCTCTTTGCATGAATCTTCCGAGTCTTCAGATATCCCCGGGACTGATAGTGTTGCATGGCTTATTTCTAGTGAGGACAGTACGGAGATAATTTGGTCCGCGTCTATATCTTTTCTGTACGAATCTCACGGCTACTTTGGAAGTATCAAATTTATCATCTTTGCATGGTTGAGTGTACCATTTGACCTGATGAAGTAAATATGACCCGCTCGTCCCCGATTGAAATCTCCTGCTTTTCCTACTAGAAATTTCAGTTTTTCATTATTGCATTGTGAAAGTCACGATCTGATTTTATTGGACCTATATTTTATGAGGGTTTCCAGTTCTTAGTAAATACCCACCGGCTTCTCTCGAAAGAATAAGTGAGTCATGTGTATCTCGAAACAAGAAGTGGCAGAACGTGTATGGATGAGACACAAATCGTGGCCTTGAACTTGCATGATATACAAGTTGCTGGATTAGCATGGATGATGATCGGACGTCCTGTAGTACGGGAGAATGTAGGTAGCTCTCACGCACAAGCTCACAATATTAATAAGTGGATACCGAGCCCAAACTCCGAGACGAACACATATTCAATATCTTATCTCGAAACTTAGCCAACTGTACATAACCGATAACAGATGGATATTCCCTCACGCCGAAGGGACTTGACAGATTCGAGTGTTGTACAGGAGTTCATCAGTTGTACAGCGTGATCAGTTGTTTAAGATTACTGTTCTTGCGGGAGTAATCTTCTTTGGACTTCTATATTAGGATGCTTCTATGGAAGGTGCTTTTTAGTGTACCTGACTAAGCCTGAGTACTGTAATGCCTATTCAGTCCTTGCTGCTATCTTTTGTGCTCTCACGATCTCGAGCATGCGAGTTTGCATGCCTCAACGAGGTCTATTTCTAGTTTTCCGGGCAATCTCACTACAGAACTTCCACTTCGGTGAATCCAATTGATTCAAGCAGTCTTGTCATTTCATCCTGAGACCTTAATTTGGCCCCCTTCAGCATTTAAGTACACATGTTGGACCAAGCTGCGCCAGGGTTCTCGATCGGATCACTTTCGTAATCCAGACGCAAGGAAAGGGACTCAGCTTGTCCACAATGAGGGATTCTCCTGATTGCATTCTTCAGACTCTTGCAGCATTGCTGGTCATTCCAGTTGACTAACACGATTGCAACACAGGCAGGAGCCGATGTGACAGACCATCAGAAGGACGTATAATGCTGATGCTTAATTGTCATAAGCCACATTCATAAGCTCATCAACCTTCACTCACTTCAGATGAAAAGTCCTCACCTTCAATTCATCAATTCCACTTCTGGAATTTGGTCTAGAAATTTTCCGCCCAGGTGATCAACTCGTGCATGAGAGAAAACAAACTCATTTTTCGAACAATTTTTCGGCCCTGTGGCTTCTCAACCCTCAATCAAATAACTCTTACTGCCACCCCTTGGAGCTGAATCAAGCTGCATGCACACCTGAAAGTCAAACGAAGGTGATGAGAACTGGCATAGTTCGGCGCTTCATCTCGTCCATTCAGAGCATTCACCGTCATGAACTATTCGTCGATTCTACACTGCCTTGCTCAGGACAAGGGTATTGGAAATTCCAGCATTTCTTCGCTAGCCAACACAGATTGTCTCCTGAATCGTTTCCCAAGTACAGGAAATCTTCAAAGTCCAAAGGCATTGACTGGTCTCGTTTTTCTCTGCTGCCATCGTAATCGACTGGAACACGGCCACAAATGCGTTGGAACTTCGATCATCTAAAACCATACCGGCACAAGTTGCATGACCTCGGTCCCTGAGACCACATGAAGTCCACTATCAAACTGTCTATGAAAGGAGCAAGAGTCCAAATCGCGTAGGTCACCAAAAAGCCAAGTGACTTGGTCCATAGGTCACAACCTGGCCTGGAGAATATAAACGTAAAACATGAACGATGTGATATCACACAGGGTGTAACCTTGGCGCGACCAGATGAAAGTGCTGCGAATATGTATGTCTGCAGAATTTCCAGCTTGCAGCATTCTATTAAAGCAGTTCCAAGACTTGAAATCAAGACTTCCTTTACGAACGCCGCTAAAACATCCGAGCCGATTTTCCTTTTCTGTGACCATCAGCTCTATGCATATCTGAATATTTGTCTGTCCAAGTGTATCGAATTTGAGTCTGTAGCTGGAGTTTATTACTTGTAATCATGGAGATGGTACATTTCCCAAGGTGAATGAATGGACTTCCCTCACGTTCAGATGGACACTATTTGAGCATGTGAGATCAATCGGTGGACTGCTGGCAGCGAGTGACTGCAGAGCGTAAAGTGTACACTTCTGGTATCCATCCAGTGGAGCCACCATCACCCTAAAGCGTGGACATAAGACTCATGGCCGGAAGAACAGGATTAGAGACGGACTTCATGTGTGAGACAAAACCTTGTGAGATGCACATGAACAATCGTACCCAAAGATGGAAGAATAGTGCTAGTATATTCTCCCAACCGCTCTCAAGGGAAGTCGACCTCTTGAATCACTTGTCTGGAGTGTCAACAAATTCTACCTCGAACGTAGACTGGACCATGCGGTGCTCAAACGTAAAGAAAGTCCACTTCTGTAGGCTGATTATTAATCTTCTAAACGATTGTCGGCTTTGGCACTGGGACACAGCACGGACAACGAGGTAAGAGTGCATTCGATTGAGATGAGTACGCTTTTACAATCGGCAGGAGGGTATTATAGCTGAATGTGCGGAGGGCATATTGAGTGGGATAAAAATAGTAGTCTAGCTGACTGACCCGCGGGATCCAAATAATGCGCAGAGTCTCTCGGCAATACGCTTCCAGTTTAGATTTCAAGGTTTACTGCTATGCACCTGACAGGACTTTCTGAATATTTTGATAATAAGATAATATGATTAGCAATCAGATCCCAGTAGTATTTCAAACAATCAACGCTCGAATGTCTCCACCGCATTTACGGTGTGAAGGGAAGCTTGAAGGAAGCATTCTGTGTTGTCAAGTATATGCTCAATCTACGCTCCTGACGCGCTGTGCAAGCTGTGCTCGTGACAACTGTTTTGACCAGAGACATTCCTGCCGGTACGGCAATTGAGTCTGAAGCCCTTCGAATGAACAAATTTAAGCCTAATCTGGAACCACGTGATTTGTCAAGTCTGCTTGATCTTAAGCCACTCTGTCACGCCAGTATTCCATTGTTAACTGTAACCAACTTTCTCATGTTCAAACCAACGATTGGTTTTCTCATTCTGAAGCAGGATTCGAGGATGCAAACAACGCTGCTTGGCAACCGCTGTTGAAGGCCTGTTTCTCCAGGTCCTCCTTGTGGGTATTCGGGAGTCCACCGTGTGCTTACCCTGTACCTAGAGCTTGCAACCTCTCCATGACTTGCTGTTTTTTTCCTGCTTTCGCTCCCACTTCTCTTGCAAGTGAGTACTTTTCTACACTCTTTTCAGGTCTTTCCCGATCGCCGAAGCAATCGAGAATACTGAATAGAAGACAGTCGTGGGACTTTCACACGGCATAATAAAGGTCAAGTGGAATTGCTACCATTCATATTGACTTGACACAAGTTCCACATATTAAATTGATTAATCAAACTTTTGTGTTGGCTTTTATTGCTAAACCACGTACTCAACATCCCATTCGGACAGACGATCTTCCACTGAGATTTTCACCAAAAGGTGAGGAAATGTTCTGCTTCAGAAACATGGCAGATCGACTGTATCTATGTATATAGACGAAGGAAATGGGACGTCAGATCACAACACGGGGAAGTGTGATCAACCACAGGTGTGAGGAATGTCGGAGAATGAAGAAAACGTTAAGAACTCCTCACAAGGTCCTGACAAGCAGAAAAGTGGTCTTCCTTGACAGCAGTAGGCCTGTAATGAAAGAATTGGGTGCATCATAAAGAGGTGTTGACGGAGTGATTTATTGGGATTTTCTGCACTCCTGGGCTGGTTACGTAGCTCGCATGCCGGTAGTTGTCTACCGCAAATTTTTTCGTCAGAAAATTCTTCTTAAATAGTTTCCTCGTTTGTGTTTCAGGTGAAACCTTTCCATTCTCTTCAATCTTCCATAAGGCTCGGCACGGTGTAAAGAGATATTTTGTGGCGTTTCGAGACCAACGAAAGGAAAGACCTTAAGTGAAACATCCATCATGATTTTGTGAAGACAGACTTGTTCAATTTATCGAGCGAAACGAGGTGGCTCTGTCACGCATGCGTGTGGTGAAGTTCCACAAGCAGTGATTCCGTGGATATGCAGTTCTCAATGTTCAAAGCATGAAACAAACGTAGGCCTAACCAACGGGAAACGTGCACCATGCCAGAGTTCCTGGCGCCTGAGAAGGATTATTTGCAAAACTGCGACCATGATTGTGAGAAATAACTTCGCTGAAGCTTGACACACAATCTCAGAGGCATCACATCTACAACACACAAACAAAAGTCCGTTCTCAAATTGTCTTGCTCTTGTTGAGATGGTCTTTCAACTGTTATTGGTCCTACTACAATTCCGGCGGACTTCGCCGGCAGATCCTGTCAAGACACTGATGTTCCCCATTCTTACCATAGCCGCTGCGAAGTTAAGAAGAAAAAAAGACGGTGTTTGTGCCGATGCATTTACAATTGCAAGAGAAAAGGGATTGCTCAGAAGCGTAGCATCTGACGTAAATACTCCTCTGTTGGCCAGGAGATCGTTAAAAAATACACTATCAAAGGTCCCGTTAGTGGTATCCATGGCGATAACATTTGAGGCCTTGTTCTGTGGGCATTGCAGTACAAGAGAATTGGCAAATGTTGGATCAATCGATGGATCCCTGGAATTAAAAACTCCGGTGAAATTGTACAAGCGCCTCAAAACCGGTGCACAATGAGATCGACCTATTGTGTGTCCACCTGCACGAGCATTACGACCTTTGTGAGTTTCCATGTCAGGCACCCAAAAAACAAAAACAGACTACTTGTGTCTAGACTGAATCCCACAGAACGCAAATGCTTCACTAAGATATGATCCATCCTTCTCGTAAGACTGACAATCAAATATGTTTGCCACAAGATACATAGTGTTTCTTTCGAACACCTCGATAAGAAGAGAATGTTTTTCCTTATTATTTCAAAAGAAATATCCTGACGACGAGCACTGAAGAACTTTCTCGTTATGAGATCTGTTTCAGGCGATATCAACGACTGTCAACTAACTGGATGCACCTGTGAGCACGACGAGGTCTTGGACAGAAAGTCCGACTCCCGCGAAATTTCTGACGAGCTGGCCGAAGTTGTCACTAGGGGACGGTAGACTGGCGAGAGCCTCATCCTTGGAAGAGACCAAGCCGTCTCTGCGACCGAGTGGCACTGACCAATTTGGGCCTCCGATCTGTGTATTACAACATATGATGAGAAAAGTGTGCTGAAAGACTTGACCTGGGACATCGAAAGCTCAAAATCTCAACAACTGTCCAGACCTTGCAAACTCTCGACCAGAGCAAAACAGCGATCACTTACCGCCACTGTGGCATCACGGGCGACCAGAGTAATGATGTCTGCACAAGACACAACTCCCGGGCACGCTGCTTCGAGAACCGCTTTGACCTCGTCAATCTGACTAAGTCCTCTAATGGAACCCAAATTTGGAGCAGAATCCTTCTCTGCTGTTTTATTTGTGGAATCCAGGAGCACGGATCCATCACAGCCCTGAACACGAATTAAACACAACATAATACTTCAACAAGGAGTGCGGGGAGTTGAGAACATGAAAATGTTCTTTGCAGACGACTAAGAAGATTGATGGGTTTTCATTCATGTTTGGTTCTGTTGCATGGTAGGAGATGCAACAGAACCAAGAATTTTGGGGATATTACTGCGAGGACAGGCACACAGCAAGGTATCATCTAATCTAGGAAGTGCAACGAAGAAGATTCATCAATCCCGAAAGCAAGACAAGGTTCAGCCCAGTTAAAGCATCTCCTCCATGGTACAACGTGGAAAACGAGAATGGTATAGAAATAAGTTTCAAGGAGGAATTGAAAACATATATTTTGAGGAAAGAGATGGATCATCAGGACGACACGATTTCAGAAAGATGAAAGACGATGCTTACCCGCACGAAGCAGTCATGAAAGTGCAGCCGCAGGAATCCTCCAGCTATTCCTCTATCAGCAGTAATAAATTCATCAACCTTGGCTTTAACTAAAGCCAGTGCTTGTGGGCAACTTGCGCTATAAAATGTTTCCGACAACTGTGCATTGCAGACTGCTTGAAACAAGAGTAGTAGAAACACAGCTGCTAAAGACCACCTTCTTCTTGTCACCGAAAATCCAGGTGCCATGGTGGAACTGCTGCTGCCCTCGTCACAGAATACTTTTGGGAGTCCTGGATACGGTCAGCAGTCGAAATGGAACTGTATCTAGCAGGTGTTATGTACACTGCGGACTTTTGTCTTCTCAAGTGATTTTATGGGTTTTGTACAAAGGAATGTGCACACCAAAAGAATCTCAGGAAATCTTCTGATACCTTCCTGCACAACGGAAAGGAGCATAAAACTTCTGTGAGTCAACAAATTCACTTACATAATCACTCTGCAGACAATCGGCACATCGTGCAAACTATCTGTCTAAATATGCGTTTAGATAGATAGTTGTACTTCCAATACAGGACTACATTGACAACATTAACAAACACGAACTAGTGATCTGGGAATTTGTGTTGAAGGACAGAGAATTCAACATAGTATGGCTGGAACTCGAGAATCTGGGAGATCCACACTGGCTGTGTACAGATAATTCACAAGTGTAATGGAAAAACTCGAGGCCGACATTTGAGAGGAAAGCAGGGAAGAAGGATTGTCCTCTCTTACTTTTTTTATGACTTTCCGATAGTTATGAATGCATTCCTAAATTTAGCCAACAACAAATTCGGCACTAGATTAAAAACTAGAATTTCTAGACAATGGAGGAATTCCAAAAGCATGTGAAAAAAGTCTTATTGACACTGCTTTGTTCAGCTAAGAAAATTCTCCTCCTCGTCACTCTTTCAACCTCCCAGTCTCGGTATTCTACCTCGCTCGGAAAGATCTCACAACAAAGGCACGATTGAGCGACGATGCCCAGTATACACTAAAAGCACAGCCAAGCTGTGTAGACTTCCGGATCCGAGCCTACAAAATGTCTGCTTTTGAATGCAAGATGCAAGACTTGCTTAATCTTTCTGACTCTGCAATCCCTACGATTCGGCTGCTATCGTGCATAATGGTGCCGAATGAGACATGGCCAGAGCATCTAAGCCTGAAATCCAAGTTCAAGTGTGGGCAACATTGTGGTTAGCGCATCCGCCAGTCGTTCATCATTCAGACATCAGAGGCTAGATGACTCGAATTCAGAGAAGAAAATACTGACACCAGAATACGAGCATGACAGGACTCGACACTGGCTCCCGGACGGTATCCGGCAATCCAGAAGTCAAGGTGAAGCACGATTTGCAAATCCCGTCCATGAACCTGCAGGCTACCGAGTGCCATAGTCGCTGGGGAAAGCTTGCGATGGTCACTTGCTCTGTTCAAATCGCAGTTGCTGCTAGAAGGATGACAGCTCTCACTCGAGCGCTCGGATCACAAATCAGTCGACTTGTGTCAGCAATGGGAGCAATGAGCGTCTGGAATATTTCGAGCGTGCATCAGAGGACTTACGCTGCATCATGAGGTTGACTAACTTGGCCACCGTGTACTGAACTGACGGTCCCTTCATAGGCAGGCGATTCGAGGTTGTTCTCATCAATTTATGCCGCTCGGAGTTTGCCATGATCATGCATTCAGCGACGCAGTTCTAAGAGGACAGCGCTCTGCCCACAGCTGGCACGGACCATTACCTAGATCCAGGACACATCCTGCATCAGATACGCTACAGAAGGATCGTCCTGCTGTTGAAGCCGGCGGGGGCAACTACAGAGTGGGCGTAGCACCAATGTCCGCAGCCCGTCTGTTCTCGTGCAGGAGGAATCGCCTCGATGCTTCGGCCGAGGCAAAGATCGCTGTGGGACAATTTGACACAAGAGGGGCTGCAAATCTCACTGAACCACGGCAGATTCAGCTGCAATTGGGCAGCGGTGTGTCAAATTTGGACATACCATGAAGAGCGGAGGAAATCATGAAGCCGTGCGAGGTGCTGGTGCTGCGGGTCCTTTCATTCTCTGCTCTGAGGAATGTAACGCTGCTGCAAGGTGGCGACCTCGGCAGGCAAGCAAAAGAACCCAAGCTCACAAGCTGCTGAGGCGCATCCATTCCGGAAAGCACGTCGTGGATGTGGACGAGCAGATTGCTCGAAATGCGAAGCTGTTCGTGAACAGTCTGCGGAGACTATTGACTCCACAACAGGACATACGCTCTTTTCGTGTTGCCTCTGTTCCGAGGCAGGGCCGGCATCGGCATCAGCTGCAGCTGCAGCAGCAGCAGCAGCTGTAGAGGTAGTAGTGGCCGGGACGTAGCAGAAGAAGGAGGCGCTGAAGAAGATGAGGATGATGACGAGGGAGCAGGAGCAGAGGAGAATTTTACATTTGAGCTAGACCTGCAGTTGTACCTCTTCTCTGAGAGCTTCCCCTGCTTTGGATGGCTGCAGCCCAGCTTTTGTGGACCCAAACACAGGGAGGGCCACAGTAGGCGAGGGAGGGGAGGAGGAGGAGGAGGAAGAGGAGTTGGTCGTTCAGTTGGGTCCAGACTCTGCTGCTGCTGCTGCTGCTGCTGAACACACCAACGAGTTCAGAGCAAGTCTAGTCTGCCAGGAAACTTGTCGAGGGCATGTACACACCATCCTAAAACCTCATGCCTCGTCCTCTGACTACTCACTCCAGTGCGCATTTGACGCTTACTCCAACTGTGGTTCGGTTCGGTTCGGTTCGGTTCGGTTCGTTCTGGTCTGGTCTGGTTTACTGCCTTAAGGTCCCTCAAGATCCGCCTAGCAACTTGGAACGGACGGACACTTGCTTGGACCGTGAACTGTCTTTCACTGCAATGCAAAATCGGATAGTCATCGGATGATGCAGGTTGACTTGAAGATCAATTCTCCAAAGCAAGCAAAGCTGTTAGTTAGCGAGTCGATGCCACCATGGGTACGTCTCGAACTTCGATCGATCGTGAAGGGCATTTATGTGCGTGCACGTGGAAGGTATGTAAAGGTCAGCTCACATGCTACTTGCTATGAATGCTACTACCCCATGGAATGCAATGGACTAGAGAAGAGAAGAGTTCTGGGATCGGCAGAATTACGAGTTCTGTGAGCGCTAATCTGCGCAGAAGTCCTCTTGGTGCCCATTGGGGGAAGTGCACGTGCAGGGCACAAGTTGTGTGGAAGCAGGTCCAGAGAATCTGTCCATGAGTCAAATCCAGGGACGGGGGCATACAATAGTAGGCAACAGGAGAGTCTCCTTATCTGGAAAGCTGGACATCCACGCTCGTCATGGGTTCCAACTGTCGAAGGCTAACTCTAGAACGGCCTACTTTGCAAAAGAGTATTGTATTTGGCAAAAGAGTGCTAGGCCTTGTTCGTATTTGCGCTAGGCCTGGGCCCTTTCGCCCTCTGCTTACTAGATTGATCCCTCATCCCTCCCCATACCGTATGATGGCGAATTCGGCCCCCAAAATGCTGTCTGGTGACGTGGCCGAGGGCCGTCGGGTTGACCTTATTCCTCTGTCAGGGACCTTTGCCAAGACCACCGGGTAGGTGCGCACGTTGTAGCGTTTTGTGCAAGGGGACTGTGTGTGCGCTGAGGGAGGAACTCGCGATCGGACGGCCGTCTTTGAAGCCCCCCTCCCGAGCCTCGTGAGAGAGGATGCTGCTGCTGGCGGCAACCCCCTCCCCTCCCCCTCCCCTCCCCCTCCCCTGGCGTGAGTGGAGCTTGGCAGGCAACATTTGCATGAAGGACTGACTTGCTCTGCATAGACTACTGGACTAACGACGGCATATCCTTCGGCTTCAACCGAAAAAGTCGGACATTCTGAAATTAATTCAAGCATGGCGTGGACCTTGTTCACTGGCCTACAGAGTTACAAATTCTGTGCATCAACTTTATACGTACTATTTATCTCGCATACCCTGCGCTTGAACGTGATCTGTTGTTGTTCACAGGGATATTGCTTGCTCCCTCGGCGCAACGAGTGCACTGACTGACCTTCACCGCTTGTTGCTGCTGCATGGGCTTTTTCCGCTACAGATTCTTTTGTCTTCTTATGCATTGTGCACTTCATCCATGCTGCAAACGCCGACTTGCAGACAGAGGTTGCTCACTTAGAACCCCACTCGGTTGATTTATATTAGATTAAAGACCATGCACCTCCTTTGGCTATGTAACTTTGATTAATTACGTCGTTTTATGTTCTCTCTCTCTCTCTCTCTCTCTCTCTCTCTCTCTCTCTCGAGATTATTATACGAGTTATAGTCGAAAAGCAACCACAGAATTGAAAGGAAAAGTAGATTGGTTCATTTCACGCTTTTGGACAAGGGCTTGAGAATTTCATGCACGACTCGGCGGATGAAAGTGATCGGGACACGGCGAGGAACGAGATCCGCGAAGGCTGTAAAGCTGGGTGGGCACTGACCGTAGTGCAGGCAACAGTGCGCGAAGAAACTGTTGGCAACCGACTTCAGCTCGGTGCTCGTAGCGTTGGTGGCCGGCTGCGGCTGCGGCTGGGTGGAATGCTCGCAGGATGGATCACTGACTCGGTTCCTCGATTCCTTCTTCGGTTCTTCAGTGCACAGCGTCGACATGCGCTCGCTCTCTCGTGCGAAACTAAAAATAGAGCGACGGGCTGATAAGAGAGCGACGTCTTATCTTGTGTCCCTTGGTTCACAGTTTCTGATTTCACTCTATCCTCTCGGAATCCGATAAGGTCGTCCTCCATTCCAGACTCCATTGGGAATGAATGTTCGACTCCTTGCTCGTCTCGGCCTATTGCCCTGGCTCTCATCATTTGCGACTCATTCATCTCGTCCTCGTTTGACCGTATTTATGTTCCTCCTGAACGACAAGCAACCGATGGACCCAAAAGGCTCATCTTGTCAGTCGATTGCTTCTCACGATGTGTCTGTACAGTCGTGGACTTTCGCAAGTCTTCCATGCGCACCACTGCCCACCGCTGCCCTTCTGACGCCAAATCTTACTCCCTCGCTCTCCTCCTCCCTTTCTCAAAACATATCTCTGTATTGACCTTCAGCTCGAGTTCTTTTCGAAGACTTTCATGTGCACAAATGCTTGAATCTGCTCCAGTTCTTGAGCTTAGTCAAGACGACTGCAGCTGTGGTTAACCTGGTTCGCCGACTGGTTTGCCTCAGACAACTTCGTAGTTCAAGTGACCACGTTCTTTTGGTCTAACACTTTCGAAAGTTAAACTCATAATAGCTTATCCACCAAAAATAATTGTATTTCATTTAAGTTATTCAATCCTTTTATATTTACGTATAATATAGCATATCTGTTATGGAAAGAAGAACCACCCAAAATTATTATCAATGTTAGGAGAACAGAATAATGATGAAATAATAGCTAATACTGATCCTCATATTGGCATATTATTTTTTTCCGCTACTTGCTTTCATTGTTATCTGTATATCTACAAGAAAATTGGTGTAACTTCAGAAGTATGATACTTATCCACTGATATTTTTAGCTGCAAAGATATATCTCAAGATTTAGTTGAATATGTGATAACAATAATAATAATTTTACTAAATATTTAATTGAAAAAAATCTAAAATATCATTCCATTATACATTATGTCAGGCAAAAAAATTTTATCGATTAATAGTAAGAATATTGGTTTTTATTTAAAAAAATACGCTAATTGACTTTCCGGGAGATTACTCCTCGTAATACTATTCCGGTCCTAGTGCGCTCGACTGCACAGTTCTGTTGGGATCTGGTGTAGTAGCCGTGGTACGACCGCGGCTACTACACCAGATAAAAAGATGCGGATGGAGGGAGGAAAAGGGTGAGTTCTGGAATTTTGGCGGCCAGAAGTTCCGCCAAACAGCTTGGGCTAGAAATGCAATGAACATCGGTAAATTTGGGCTGTTCCCGGACGCCATCTAGCGGACTTGCACTCAAAAATATGCTTCGACGCAGATTGGTCAAAACCCTTTCCGGGGCAATGAGAGTTCAAATCCGCGAGACAGTTGATTTCACTCGAGACCTTTTCTTAGCAATCACAGAGAGCACAATCTTTGCACTGGCGACAAACGTGCTTCAGTTTTGTTTCAAGTGCAGTTTGTTTCATGAGATGAACATTTATTTCTTTTTTTGAAATGTCCATGAAAATTATGCATGCAAACATGTCGATGAAAATTATTTTTCTCAACTTTATTTGCAAAGCTCAAATTTCTTTTAATCTAAAGTGATTATGAATGTTGATCGAAGATTTAAATGACTATAAAAAAAAGCGAAGAAAGAAAATTTATTCTACATCTAATTTTTTTAAATCTTAGAAAATTCAAATAATTCTCATAGAACATTTTTATTTTTGAAATTGTTCTCATAATATGCAAATAAATTGTCAAGATTACACATTTTTGTGAAATTTTTTTCTAATTTCATATAGAGGATTTCAAAAATGGTCAAATCTGATACATAACACTATTCACTTGCAAAAGTTTATTCATACGAATTGTCCTTCAATCACAGGGACAATATTTTTCATATAATATTTTTCTTTAATCTTTTTAAACGAAGTCATATTCAATCAGTTTTTAGTTTATTCCTCAATTTTTTAATATATTTATTAATAAAATATTAGAAAGAACCCAAAAAAATCGTACACTGATATGAAAATCTGAAGGTAATATAGGAGTTTTTTGGAGATTTTTTAAAATTTTATTTCACTTTAGTAAGTCAAGAAAAATACTAAAATTCTGTAAAAAAACACATATATATGAACGAGTATTCAAAATGATATTTAATTTTTTAGAATATAAAATATATTAACATAATATAATACTTTCAAGATTACGATAGGATTTACCAAAATATTTTAAATTTAATTTGGAAATTTATAAAAACTGATTTTGAAAGAAATATCCATAATTATTAAACCTACTTAATGATGTATTTGAACGTGAAATATTTTATTTTATTTTTTAAAAATTTTTTAATTGATAGTGCATTAAATAAATTTATTCTTATTTTGATTCAACTTTGATTTATCATGTTGATTCTTATCATATTTTATCATATTCATTAACTTAAATGTCAGAATCATTAATGATGATGAATTTTTTTGTTGTATTTAAAATATTTACAATTAAATATTTAAAATTATCCAAATTTTAAGTTTATTCAGCTAATTTCATGCTTAAAATCATCAAGAGAAAAATTCGTAAGACAAGTTGATGTTAAATAAGACAAATTAGCTGAATTTTAATTAAACTTATGTTGAAAACAACATTGAGTATATATACTTAGCCATCATTAAAAAAGTATGAGCTTGAATAAGAATTGTTGAAATTACAACTTGAAATTGATATAATAACTAAAAAATTTCCTCAATCAAATTTTGTCGTTTAATTTGATTCTAATTTATTTTTCTAAAAATAATTCCAAATAATATAATGAAGAGGTTATAATAGATCATCATCAATGAAAAACTTTTATAACTTCCCTTTTAATATATTTATTACTTTATTTTTAATTTGTAAAAAATTATTTGGCAAATCAAATTATAATATAACTCTTATGTATTATGAGAGTTTCATCTCAAGGAAGTGCAAATCATCACAATTACCTATATATATATATATATATATATATATGAGATCCACTTTGCAGAAGTTATGTTTTAAAGAACATATATATTGGATTATATATGTACTAAGAATTTCGAAAATTGTGTTTAAGAGAGTTGGGACCAGCTCTCTCATGTAATTATAGATCAATCCTAGTTTTACTAATTGGGAGAACACTAGATTTAGTTCACAAGATCAGAGTCAACTTCTATCAATAAATCATTTTACTCATGTCTTCAAACTTTATTCTTTGTAACAATATTATTACTGAGAACAAAATTTTCAAAAAAATTGACATAGAGTCATATGCAGACTAGAGTGAACTAGGAGTAAAGCGTAGAGAAAGTAAGATAAGCTCAACTTCATATAAATATATCAATATCACTAGTAAGATTTTGTGTTTTTTATGCAAAATATACATAATCTCTTTCTTCTCTATTATTTCTTTATTGATACAATCTAAATTTATTTAAATATAAAAAAAATAAAAATTAACTAAAAAATTAATATTGTAAAAACACAGTTAGAAAATTTATCTATTAATATAATTAAATTATAGTTATTGAAAAATACAATTCAAGAAGTAATTATTTGATTTCAAAATACAATGCAGTAAACAATATATATAATCATAAAATTATAAAATATATATTGATCTTTATATAATCATGAAAATAATATATTTA